GTATGAGAGTCCCAATCTCTCCACCACCTCGCCAGCATTTGTTATTTTCTGTCTTGTTGAACTTTGATACTAGTGCTGGAGCAAGATGGTGACATCTTTGCTCTTTAATGCTGTCAAGAGGTCTTCTGAAGCACATTTGCCCAGCGTAATACGTAGTTTGATTTCTTGAGTGCTGCTTCCATGGGTGTTGATTGTGGATCCAAGAAAATGAAATCCTGGAGAACTTCAGTCTTTTCTCCATTTATCTGATGTTGCTTATTGGTCCAGTTGTGAGGCTTTTGTGATAGTAAGTGGAAATGGGTTAGGTAAACAGAGTCCTTATCATAATGACCTCATAACCTTAAGGAACATGTAGCCTCCTATCTTTTGGCCATTTTAAGTTGAGATGTCTGTAAAACATCCAATCTGGAGATGTCTAGCACAGAGCTATGTAATAGTCAGTTCTATATGAAATTATTTATGAGATGAAAACACCTAGTTGTACAGCACAGGAAACAATCTTTTTTAGAGAGAAACTGTTTCACAAAGTTTAGCTATCACTCACTATTCTTGGTTTAATTTTGCTGTGCAGCCCACTATAAAACTACTAGTTTTCATAGCAGTCTAGGTGATTGCAACTTTTTTTTTTGCTTTAATTCTATTTATGATTGCTATATGATGGATTGAATTAGGCAAAGTATAACCTAGTTTATAAATGTTGAGAGAATGCATTGAAAAAGCAATTTTTAAAAGTGTTTCTCTTTACCTGAATACAGTATTAAAATGCAAGAAGGAAACAAAATTGGTATGGGCTTGAGCTGGGCATAAACATAAGATTTCTCTTCAGAGAACTGAAAGTCATTTAAAAGCTTCAGGCCAATTTAATATTTAGAAGTTTTCCACATCTTTTTTAACTAATTCACCTTGTACTCCTTACTTACTGACAATGGTTTTAGTAACTTATAGTCAGTTTACTTATTTCTTAAGTAGATATTTCCTTTTGTATTAATGAAGCATATAAAGAAAAATATAGATGTTAAGTTTAGTCCCTGTTGAGTATCACAGTCTCATTATTAACCTGTTTACTTCATATATACCTGCTCCTTACTCATCAGCTATCTTGGTCTCCAGCATTTCACATTTATGATGATAATAAAAATCTACTATCCAACATATGTCTGCACTTAGTAACATATGTCTGGCATTAATGAACACTAAGGTACAAGGCGAGAGTAATGCTGGCTGTGATGGTTAAGTTTATATGTCAGCTTACCAGGGTCATGATTCTGAGTCGTTTGGCAGTTATGTAGTGATGTAATTTGTAATTATATAATTTGGAACTCATGTATTGATGTAATTGCCCTCCATTTTGTGATCTGATGTGGTTACCCTCCATTTTCACATAAATTTTAGCATGGCAACCTGGTCTTTGAAAGCTAACCATAAGTGAGGAGTGGGTGTATGATGTACCTTTTTATTTTAACTTTTATTGAAGTATTATATTCATTCATAAAAATTCACATAAAGTGTAAAGCTCAGTGTATTTTCACAAACTCAGGTCAGTTAAGAGAATAATAGCAACACCCAAAAGCTCACCCTCCTCCCTGTGGTACTTCCTTCCTAGTCCTTTTCCCTATGTGCTCCTTTTTAAGGTAAAAATAGGATATTTTTACTGTGAATACCCCCAGATAAAGTACCAGCTAATTTTAAGAGTCTTTCTGAAAATTAAGAAAGTTAAAGTGACTTTTAACCTTCATCCGTCCTCTTTCCTCACAACCTCCTTCATCCTCCCAGAAAGATCAAAAAATGTTTATTAACTTTATACTTAAAAGCTATGCTATCTTCCTTTTCTAAATTAGTGAAATTAGTGCATTAATCCTTAGTTACTACTGTTTAAATATTTCAATTTAGGAAATTTTTTGCCTGAATATCTATGGTTAAATGTTATGTATTGCCAGTATTTGGTAATGTAATTGCATTTAAATGTCAGCAATAAATACTTTACATGAGTTGAAGCCATGTAATCAGTATTGCAGAAGTCCCTGGGTGGTGCAAACAGTTAAGAAGCTTGGCAGCTAATTAAAAGGTTGGAGGTTGGAGGTTGGAGGCCACCCAGAGGCATCTGGGAAGACAGGCCTGGCAGTCTGCTATTAAGTAATCAGCCACTGAACCCCATGTGGAGAACAGTTCTACTCTGATACACATGGGGTCACCATGAGTTGGAAACTGATTAATCAGTATTATAACTTTAGAAATGCCATGGAGAAGCTGGGGAAAAAAAAGTGGGAAAAATAGAATTTAGTTTCATTGTCTTAATGGTGTACTGTTTTCTTAACACTAGATTGTTCATTATTGTTCTCAGATTTTGAAGATGACATGATTGTAACGTCTGATGTCTCGCGATACATTGAAGACCCTGGTTTTGGGTATGAGGACTTTGCCAGAAGAGGGGAAGAACATTTGCCAACATTCCGAGCTCAGGTATAAGATGTGTTCATTCAGAGAAACTACAGAATAAACACTGTCATTTTAACTGTTAAGCATAAAACACCCTAGAAAACATAGCCACATAATGATGTGGCTCCAAAAGTGGATATAGTTTTAATTAAGACAGACTCCTTTGCTTGTTTGAGATGACCGGTAACTGTCCCATGTCACTGAGTCAGTTTGATCACATTGGGATATTCTGAGATCTATTGGGGTCCTTGCACATAAGGGCACAGTGTGTTTAGTATCTGGTCATAGGAGGTGGCCAGAGTTCATCATTCACATACCAAACTTCTGGACCCTTCTGAGGAAGCATCATAGCACTCCGTTAGCAGACTGATGTGAAGGGCTCCAAGTAAAGCCACAGCCTAAATGTAAATTTGAAATACCCTCACTTACTTGCTTCAGTAGTTAATTTTAACAAAAACACAGAGTTTATATGGAGAATGTTTATTTTGCAACTGGATGAGGTTTTTTTTTTTTCCCCAGGACTATACTTGGGAAAATCATGGGTTTTCCCTGGTGAACAGACTTTATTCTGACATCGGACATCTTCTTGATGAAAAGTTTCGGATGGTCTACAATCTGACCTATAATACTATGGCCACCCATGAGGATGTTGACACAACCATGCTGCGCAGAGCTTTATTTAACTATGTTCACTGTATGTTTGGAATCAGGTATGTTCATCGTGGAGACAGTTTTTACATTTCTAAATGAAAATTCTAATATGAATTTTATTTACTCCCTGTTTGTTGTTGTTGTTGTTATGTGCCGTCGAGTCGGCCCCGACTCATAGCGACCCCTCCTTGGGTTTCCGAGGCAGTATCACTACGGAAGTAGGATTGCCCAACCTTCCTTCCGAGGAGTGGCTGGTGGGTTTGAACCACCAGCCGTCTGGTTAGCAGGCAAGTGTCTTAGCCACTATGCTACCAGAGCTCCCTGTTTAGGAATATATAATTCAAGGGAGAAAATATTACATGTGGATTTTTTATTATAAAAAAAAAAAAAAATTATTCCATCCATAGAAAAGCATTATTCTCTGTTAAATATTGTGAATCTTAATATTGATGCACATATAAATACAGTAGTAAGAATTTATGAAGAAAAGGAAAAAGCATCAGTAATCATTGCAGAGAGAATCAGACTCAGTTTGAGAATCTTTCCTGGAAGAATAGGTCAGCGAAAAAGCATGTATTATTCCTTTAGATCATTGCAGTGCTAGTTTTTTAGGTTTACAATTTTTAAAAATTTATTTTTGAAGGGATGATAATTAGAGTATAAGCAAAACTGGAGTAAGTTCTGCCCTCAAACATTGCATGCATTATTATCATGTAAGAGCACTGAAACAAAACATAGCAATCAATCTAAATTAATGGCCTTTAAATTTAGAAAATTTGTATTCAGAGGACTGTGAGTAGAAGAGTGAATGAGACTGAATGGCCTAATCAGGAAAGCTCTTTTTGGATAATGAGCCTTTTTAATCTGGACTTTCAAGGCTTTTATGGAGATAAATTTGCAGAAAGAAAAAATTTCATTTATGCTTCTGTTCAGCTTGACTATTTACTATATGCTTTCTGAGAGCTCTAAAGTCTTTACAAAATGGAATGAGCATTCCCATTGTTGAGTAGCATGCTTTCTGTAGATTTTAAATGAATAATCCCAAAATTTTTTGATAAATAAATTAACAGTATATCATTCTCTATATAAAAAAAACAAAACACTATTATGAGGACATATACTAACTCTGTTATTGGCCGTATACCATCCTAAATAATAACTTTTCACATAATCATATTTTAAAGTAAATGTTATACCTAACCAAGAAAAATAAACATTAATAGGATTTAATTTAATTGCAATAAATACGTATTGTATCCAAGGCAATAAATAACAAATGTGGTTATATTGATCTGTTGGATGCTACTAAATAAAGCTTATATAAAGTCTTCAAGGTACTTTCTTAAACTAATAATAAGCATTACATTTAAAAAATGTTTAATTAATTGAAAAAAATAGAAGAGAAATTCCACAAGCTCCCAACTGTCTGTGCTCCTCTCCGCTTGTGCACAAAGCTCCATCTCTTCTTGTCTCTTAAAGGCACTCTCTTCTAGCAGTTTTCGCCTCTTTCACCTGCTTGAGCAGCTTTACTCTCTTTATTGGATCTTTCTCATTGGTATATGACATGCTGTTATTTCTCTCTTCTTTTTTTTAAAAAAAATCCTTTCTTCAGCCTTCTTATTTTCTCTGGTTACTACCTCTTTCACCTGCTCCCAAACCAAAACCAAAACCAAACTCACTGCCATCGAGTTGATTTCAACTCATAGTGACCCCTCCTTGGGTTTCTGAGGCAGTATCACTACGGAAATAGATCGTCCCATCTTCCTTCCAGGGACAGCAAATCTCTTTGAAAACGAAGTTGAATATACACTGCCACCATTTTCTCTTATCCTCTTGAACCTGCCACAGTATCAGGCTTTTACCCCTGCCTTGCCAACCAAGCTGTTCTTGTTGAGGTTGCCAGTGACCTCCATAGCTACTTCCAGGGGCCATTTCTCAGTTATCATTTTATTTGTCTTACCAGCAGCACTAGATAATTGATCACTCCCTTGTCCCTGAAACACTCTTTGCTTGACTCAGGCCTCAGAGCCTTTATAGTTGCTCCTTCGGCTTCTTCTGGTGTTTGTTCAAATGTCAATCTCTCAGAGAAGCCTTGCCTCATCCTACCTAAAACTGCAACTCCTCTCCTCCAGCCTCAACTTTATTTTTTTCTCCATAGCATTAATCACCATCTGACATACTATATATTTTATTTCTTTTTTTCCCCAATAGGCCAAGTTTTTTTTTTTTTTTTCTGTTTTGTTTACCATTGGTCAGATTTCTTCAGTGCTTAGAAATGTGCCTGGCACATAATAGATATTCAATAAATATTTGTTAAATGAATTAAATAATGAGCTTTTCTCATATAATTACTACAATGAGTATCTCTTGATGTAACTTTATAAATTAAGAGTTCTGATTATGTCATTATAAAACTTTTGTTCTATTGTTAGGTATGATGACTATGATTATGGAGAAGTTAATCAATTACTTGAACGAAGCCTGAAGGTTTACATTAAGACAGTGACCTGCTATCCTGAGAGAACTACAAAGCGCATGTATGATAGTTACTGGCGTCAGTTCAAACACTCAGAAAAGGTAAATAATTCCTGACTAAACAATACTGAAGTTGTCAAAGATTTCATTTTACTTAGATCCACAATTAACTTTCATGGAAACAGCATAGTGGTTAAGCACTATGTCAGTGGTTTGAACCTACCCAGGTACTCCTCAAGAGAAAGATGGCAGTCTGTTTCTGTAAAGATTACAGTGTTCGGAAACTCTCTGGGGCAGTTCTACTCTGTCCTATCGAGTCAGAATTGACTCCATGGCAACAGGTTAATAGATTTTAACATTCACTAATTAACTGTATGCCTTGGCACAGAATGCTATCGCCTCAGTATCTAACAGATTTTTTGAAGTCTTACAGTCAGCCAGATAGCAGGCAATACCTACTACATCTCTGGCATCTCTGCATGATAGATCGTTATGCTCTGTTTATGTTTCCACTAGATTTTCTTCCCTTTCTAGTTTGTACCTAGAAATTCCCTTCATTCATCAGAAGAACATATCCAACAATATAGCCAAACTTGAAAAAGAGATCAAAAGAATTTAAATATATTATCATAATATATTCTTTGTAGTCAGTTTTGAAAACACATGAGTATTCATTTTAGCTGTCAGCTGAGAAGTACTCCCAAAAGAAATTAAGAAATGTTTGCTTATGACTATATCCTCGGAAGGAAGATGGGGCGATCTACTTCCGTAGTGATACTGCCTTGGAAAACCAAGGAGGGGTTGCTATGAGTCGGGTCTGACTTGACGGCACACAACAGTAACATTATCTAGTAGACTCTAGGGAACTTACACATTAGTAATCTATTAGAAACTGCTTTCCAAACCAAACCAAACTCACTGCCATTAGTCAGTTCCAACTCAGTGACCTCTCCTAAAGCAGTATCTCTACAGAAGTAGATTGTCCAGTCTTCCTTCCAAGGAATGGCTTGGTGGGTTTGAACCACCAGCCTTCTGGCTAGCAGTAGCAGTCAGATGCCTTAGGCACTTGCCAATTACCACTTTAGTATCTTTCAAGTAAATAACAGAAAAATTTTAAAAAGGGTTTTTAAGTAATAAGCATAGGCTGTAAGAAAAGTAGGGCTGATTTTTAACCATATAAAATTTTACGACTAGTGGATGTGTAATTTGTAGGAAAATTATAATTTGTAAAAATTATTTTTCTTTATATAACCCAAAAGGTAGATTGGCTTTACAAAAGTTTATTCTTATAAAATTTGGGGGGGGTTAGGCTTTATAGATTGTTTTTACTGTTTAAAAAGAGTTGTTTGGGTTTTTTTAAAAACAACAGGTTTCTTGTGAGAAGTACATCACATACATGTTTACATATGTGTATATACACGTGAAAAAAACTTTTGTGAATGTTCATATATGAATAATTGTAGAAGTTGTTTATAGTGTTTACTAAACTGACTACATTTTTATTTCCAGGTTCACGTAAATCTACTTTTAATGGAAGCACGGATGCAAGCTGAACTTCTTTACGCTCTTCGTGCCATAACTCGGCATTTGACCTGAAGCATCACCCAGGGAGAATGCCATATATGTGTAAAGACCTTTTCACATAAAATATACATCAGAAGCTGTTAGTGATGTAGCATCAAAAATTATCCAATTCTCTAGTGTCAAAGTTTAGCCGGTTTTTTTGCGGCCGTAATGTGCAATGATGTGTTTTATTTTTCTTGATGCTTAACATTACTAACAACTGCAAAAATAATACTGAGGAGCACTACTTTGCATTGTTTATAGTTGGATCTTTGGATACTGACCATAAATCATGAACCTGGTTTGTTAATGCTTAACTTCAGCGCCTTTGAGTTTATGTGTATATGTACTTTTTTTCCTTCCTTTTTTATCCCCATTTTTTTTTTCCTTTTTCAGTAAGAAAAAGCGCTTACAATCTGTTGGAGCAATTGTTTTTTGTTTTTCAGATATTGGAATTCAGCACAGAATGGCTCCCTCTGGCCATTCTAAAGTTTTAATGTTGTGTCCTAAATCTGGTGGAGGAAAAGCATGTGCTGTTGAACCACGCTGCTCAGTGGACACATTTGTGTCCCCAGGAGATTATTTGTCAGGCACTGTTTTTGTTTTTGTTTTTTACTGCTATTGGCAATAACGTGAAATGTGATACAGCCATTGTCCATAATTTAATGTGAAATTAATCATGATGAATTCTATAGCATGCTACTGAAATGCCAAATTTAGCTATTTTCTTTCTCTTCAGAAAAAGAATTTTTCAGTTTTCCATATCAGATGTATATATTAAAAGTGGAATTATGCACAAGCCTTTCTGTCACTGACAGTAATCCTCAGTCATCTTCAATAATCAGTGCTCACAGTGCTGCTTACAGCTCATTCATTTGGCTCATATAAACCTGCATCCCCACAAGACTGACCAAAAAATTTCTTTGCACATTTTTCCTTTCTCATAGTTTTTTCTATATTGCAGTAAGCAAAGGAAGGTTAATAGTATACTTATATTTTTCATGTTAGGCTTTTAGAAATTATTTACCATGATTTTTCTTCTTATAATAGGTTAAACAGTTTATTATTCAAAGGTAAAAATTGTGTTTCTATGCATTAATGTGATTGAACAACAACAAAAAAAAGTGCAATATATTATTTAAAAGAAATACTAAATTTCCCCCCATTATGTCAATGCAGAAGTGTCCTTTGAAACATAGCCATAAAGAAATTTTGTTCAAATTTCTTTATTGCACAAGGCTTTTTTTCTCTTCTTCGTTTTACCTACCTTACTGGGGTTAAACAATGTTGTTTTCATAATGCCAAAGCATTCCCTTCCCCAGAAAAATCTCTTTGGACAACTGGTTAAAAAAAAAAGATACCAAGTCTTAGGGGAAGAATAAGTGGCCAAAAAGTCACATTTTTGCATTGGTTTATGTTGCTTGATTAGACTATCTTCAGAGAGCACAACATTACGTGTTTATAGCTTTAATTTGTATTTTGTTAATGAACCAGTGAAGTGCCTAAAGAGATGCTTACAAGGAGGACACGACTGCACTGCTTAACATTTTTTTGGTTAATTAAGGGTTACTTGAATTTTACACATACATGCTAATTTTTTGAAACAGACCATTTCTTCACAGTAAATAATATAGCTAAAATTTTCCGTTAGAGATCTCATGAAGATTTCATTTCAGACTTCCTTGTTATTTAAGACTTTTTGCGCTCATGAAGGAATTGTGGACAAATCATTTCCCCTTTCCATTTATCATTCTTTTCTGGTATAATACATTAGATTCCTTTCTTTTGGATATTGTTCTAGATCAGAAAACAAAAAGATGATTGTATATCTATTACTATAAGGTAGTTGTACAGTTTTTGATTTGAGGCTCTGATTTGAAATCTTCCATGTGAAGGAAAAAAAATTACTAATATTTTTCAAGACAAGGTGGTTTATTTAAAGAGATGATTCAAAGAACTTGTGCCAGATCTCTTCTGTTTTGTTCACTGCATATATCACATGCTAATTTAATCCAGTATCACATTATATAGTGCAAAGAAAGTATTTAGGAGAATGGCAAAACACAGATGACAACATAAATGTCCATTTGACTTCCCTAACTTCAGAGCTTTCAGGTTGAGGTTATCTTTTTTTCTTGGCATTTGTTTTCCTACTAGAATTCTTTCAGTCAATAGCCCTATATTTTTGTGCAGGTGAACTGTATTACAGGATGAAAAGGAGGAGAAATTCTCACAGAACACCATATGAGCTTTAGACCAAAAGGGGAAACAAGGTTTAAGTAATGAAAATGACCACTTAGCTTTTGTTGTTGTTTTTTGTTTATTTTAATTTTTTCCCCAGGAATATAAGTAGTTGGAATTTGGTTTCTGGAAATATTAGTGCCTTTACTAGATCTCTTTCCCAGCCACAGATGTTTATAGCTCAGCATTGGTCTCTCTCATCAATAATCAGGAAAGTAAGTTGACTTGGAACTATAAACAAAAGCAAAATATCTTTGTGAACCTCAGTGAACCAGCCTAGAAAAACTTCTGAAAAGTCTTCTGAAAGTGCTAAAGCACCTACTAAGACACAGTGTGCTCAGCATTCCAGGTTGTGAATACCATTTTGCAATGAGTTTGCTGTTAACTTTCTTTATCTAATGCAAACTTGAAGTTCTGATGCGGTTTTCCAGGGTGGTATTTTTTCAGAGTATTGAATTTACTATGTAGTAATTTATAGTATAGCTTTTTTATATTCAAATGTAATATTTTTAAAAGAGATGTCTGGTTCAATTGGTGTAATGATATGATTATACAATATGCTAATCTACACCTTGGGCTCACATTGTGCCAAACTTAAATGTACAAGTGTACGTTCAAAAAGCACATGTGAATGTGAATCCTTTACCTTTGTTACTTATGTTACAGGTAGTGAAATAACCCACTGACCTATATTCTTGAGTAATGTCTTTACTTTTTCCTGCTGGAATAACAAGCTTTCCAGCTTCAATTGTAATTCTTGATTTCTCAGATCACCTTAAGAAATATCTTTGTACTTTCCCATCTGAAAGTAAATCTGTTCTTTAACCTCATCACTTGAGTGTGAGAGTGGCCAGGCACGTGCCTCATTAGATCCTTCACATTAGGGTTCCTCAGGTGGACTTGTGATAATGAGGGGAAAAGAGGCTTTGAGACGGAATTATTTATTACCTTCTTCACCTTTTTGAACTAAGTATATTGTCTCAGTCTCAGGAAGAATCTTTGTCCCATTTGGGAGATTTTAAAAATAAAAGATGCTAACATGGAATCTGGGGCATGGCCTTGGCCTTCAATTATGGCTTTAAAGCCCAGATAATGGTAGAGCACCATGGGGCTGTTTGGGAGTGGAAAATTCAGTTTAAGTGCTATATCAAGATCATATTTGAACCAGAGCCCCTACTTTAATTGTGTTACAATATCTCCTAAAGATTTTCAGTTGTTACAGAGCAACTGTTTCCTTTCCACTTTGTAGAGTTTGGGGGGGGAGGGGAATCCCATCTTAGATGTTTATGCTGCAGCAAAATAAATTGTCATCAAACAAAGATATCTACTTAAAATAGTTCCATTTTAGTTCAGAATGCATGCATAAACGATGATAACATTCTTTTAAATTCTAAGGACAATTCACCAGGGGAAAAAAATGTCAGTGCATGTTATAGAAATGATTTGCACTGTGATAGTTAAATGAGGTTTTTGTTTTGTTTTTTGTTGTGTTTTAAAGACAATTCTAAATCATTTCTCTGGAAAGCAAGACCTTAAACTCTTCTCTTAATTGAAGAGGACTTTTTCTTTTATGCAAATAGACAGTCTTGCATGGAGAACAAAGTATGCAACAGACAATTTACGTTACATAAATAGTATATGTAGTTTTCATATAATTCAGCATCAAACTGAAAGACGTGGTTTCTCTGTTCAAATCAAATTTTGAGTTGGGTGATTTGTATAATCAGAGCCTATTTACTAGGTGGTCATCATCATAAACTATGTTTCCCTATTATATTCCTCTGGAGACTGAGAATCAAATTAAATAGTCTTTCCTCAAAGCAGTACTGTAACATGAATGTATTCCTCTCAGTCAACAGAATTTAAATGCCCACTATATGTGGGGCTTACTTCAGTGCTAATCTGGCATCATTAGCAGTGTGTCTGCTCAGGTGAGACCTAGAACAAAAATAGCTGGGGTTGGATCATAGAGGTAGAGGTCTATATTGAGGCAGAGCCCTGTGAGGAAGGAGGAGTTTCTCAAAGAATACATGGAACATACTTCTGAGAGGAGTGTGAATATTCTCACACCTAATGAAAAGCAAATATTTCCCATCTGGGAGCTCCTGCCTATACCCAGTCACCCATTCTTGCCTGCTTTCTCTTCCTCCAAGTGCCTCAACCTCTACACGCTCTCCTCCTCCCCTTCCCTCAGCCAATCCTGGTCTTGAACACCTTTTAGAATCGAAACCAAACATCACCAGCCACCTGCTGATAGTCACCAGCATTCACTTTTCTGAGCTACTTTTTCTCCATTCGTTAAGAGTATGGCTTTATTATGACTCCCTCCAAATCCCTCAACCATCCCAGATACATTTTGGCTAACTTTTACCTTAGACACTAGATGCTACACAGCATCAAGTGTAATCTTCTTCTCCAACCCATACCATCCTCCTCTTTTCCCAGCTGCCAGAATATCTTGCTATCCTCTACCTCATCCCCAAAGAGCCTATAAACTTGGAGTATCCAGCCTTTTCATGGATTTACTCTCTGTTGCTCAGTAATACTACTTCCATATTTTAAATAAATCATAAAAGATTTTGCCTTCTATCAAAGTGTAGGAATCTTTATATTTATACATGATACAGAAACAAACTATTTCTACCATGCAGAATTTAGCATTTAACAGGATTTTAAAGTGACTGAATTGCCATTCTAACTTGGATCTATATTAAGTAATGAATATTGGTGTTAATCCATTAATCCAAGTTATTTGAATGTAAAGTTAAAATTCCCCAGTAATCCGGATTGATTTGTAACCCTTCCATGGAACCAGAAATTCCTGTCATACAAATGAGTGCTATTTCAGTTAGTTGTTTTATTAATGTTGTTGGGACCTTGAAACATATTTGTAATAGAAGGATCTGCATGAAAAGTGGTATTAAGCTGGTCCCACCAGAGCACAGAAGCCCATTTGATCCACAGTGCAGATAAAATACCACAAAATTGTATGCATAGGGTTTGATCAGGCTTTCCCAGGTTAGACCAGTACTCTAGCACCCATTGCTACCCTAGTCATTTG